TGTCTATTTCTAGATGAAAATTTTTGCTGGTTTGAACTATAATGTTTAATGGAAATCATCCGCAAATGTCTTAACATTAGTCCAAAAAGGACACATTTCATTAAATACTAATTGAACATAACTGTATAAGGTATGATTTAAATAATTTGTTGATTCATTAAAATTGGAAGCGATGACATCATTTGTTATACTTTAGATACACAAATGGTCGAACATCAGAAAATATAGTTATGGTCATATTAATGTGTATCCAGGGTATCTTTACGGTTGTTTTTTTTTTTTTTTTACCTGTCCATGTCAATGAGCTGCAGAAATTATTTGTTTTACGTTTATTTTTCTAACTGTTTCACTTGTTTATTTAAGGAACCTCATTTTAATATTGAGTTATCTAAATATGTATTAGTATTACTGTAAATTATTTCCTCATTTATCTATTGAGACTTTATTGTAAGTATAATGATTTCTTTTTTTTAACTTTTTTAAAACTTTTACGGAATATTGTAAGTGTAATTGTTTTTTTGTTTTGTTAGATATCCATTTTTAGCACTAAAACAGCCAGGTTTACTTTCACTTAATTCAATATTATTAAATAAAATATCCCATAATAAGCATTATTTAGACATCTACTATAAGTGCTATTTTAACATAGCAGTTAATGCAAATAAAGACTGTGGCGAGTGTTCAGTAGGGTGAATTTATCTCGGATAACCTTTCTGCTCCCAGTCCACAGCTGTCCTCCAAACAGCCATTACTCCAGCTGCATGATGGTGTGCCCACCTCAGTGCGCCCCGGCCCGCGGTCAGAGGGACTGTAACCATGACTGTGTGGAGGGCTGCCAGTGCGACCTGGGCTATGTGCTCAATGGCAAGAGCTGCATCCTGTCCCAAAACTGTGGCTGCTACACAGATGGAAAATACTATGAGGTCAGTGGGCATTACCAAACTGAAGCAAAGCTTTAAACGTCTTTATTCAGATTTCCCTTCCAAAAAGCCAAGCTTCTTTTAATATTGTTCTCTCCTGCTATATCACTGCAATCTATATCTCTCTGTGTGTTTACTTATTTTGTTTCTTGATTACAGCAACTTTAATTAGTAAAACTTTGTACGAAGTTTTGAATTGTATACACTGCAAAAAATCTAAAACTAGATAAGTAATTTTTTTCTTAAAATAAGTGCATTTGTTCTTGAATTGAGGAGGTAAAAGAGACATTTTGCCAATGGAACAAAACAATTTACACTTAAAATAAGAAAACACAATTCCATTGTCTTATTTCAAGTGCATATTATCTAATTATCTTATTCTAAGACTAAAACTACTCATTCCACTGGCAAACTGTCTCATTTACCTACTCAAATTAAGGGTAAATACACTTAATTTAAGACATTTTTACTTATTTCTAGATCATTTTTGCAGTGATTGTGGACTTCATTGGCCTTTGGATGCTTTTCCTCTAACATTGGGTCCAAACTTTGTACCTTAGGATGACACCATGTAATTCAGCTTCTTTTTAAACAAATGCAAACTGACAAAGAGGAGGAAACCTTTGATAAAAACAATCTCAAGCTGATTAGATATATTTGTGTTGATATAGAATGAAAAGTCAAGTCACTCAGAACTCAAGTGACTCAGAACTAGAACATCAGTTCAGTTGATCACTCACCCCCCACATAGCAGCAATAACCACCTTAACAACTATATATGACATCCTGTAAAAACAAATCGAGACATTTAATATGACATAGAGGAAGATATCTTTCCACTGCATAGGGAAATGAGGGACATATCAATTTGTGAGCTACACTATTTGTTCTGTCCTCAAGGACGTGTTATCATCATCGCTGTTTATGCTTCTCAAACTAACGTCAGAACTAAATAAGTAGAGGCTAATCATCAAATTTGCAGATACATGTAACACTGTCATTGTGAGCCTCTTGCAGGAGGTGAAGCCATGATCTGGGTATTAAGCTAACTTTAAGACTAGAAGTGATGCAATTTTTAAGAAAGCTGACAAGAAGCTATTTTAAATTAAGTTTAATGATTTTACCTCTAATGTCCCTTCTTTTAATTATTTTTTTTTCCTTTCATTTAATCTGATTTAAAGTGTGTTGGTTGGATAACCTACCTTGAGTCCTGATATGTTTTTGTAAATGTTTCTGTTTTTGGGTTCTTTCGCTAATGAAACACAAAATCAATATCTAATCAATTTCCCCTTCAGCCCAAGCAACTTTTCTGGAACAGTGACTGCACCAAACGCTGCCAGTGCATTGGAAGAAACCTGATCCAGTGCGACCCCAGGCGCTGTAAGGCAGAGGAAGAGTGCACTTTGCGGTTCGGGGTCAGAGGCTGCTTCGCCCGCCGATCTCAGCACTGTGTGGCATCTGGTGGGGGAGTCTTCAGGACGTTTGATGGGGCGTCACTGCGTCTTCCAGCCTCTTGCTCCTTTGTCCTTTCCACAAACTGCCACAAGCTGCCCGACCTTTCCTTCCAACTCATTGCTAACTTTGATAAATGGAGCACGCCAAACCTCACCACCATTTCTCATGTCTACCTTTACATAAACGAGGAGAACATTCTCATCTCTGGAAGCACTGTCAAGGTAAAGTGAAGTTTGAACTGTGTTCTCATAAAGTTTAACCCTTGTTTAAGGCAGGAGGCCCTCTGAATGGAGAAGACAACACATAAAACAAACCCATTATACAGATACAGAAGTTTTAATAGAATAGACATCCATTATTTGTTCTAGGTTTTATCCCTCTCTTCTTGTCCCTTTTCTTGTTGTTTTCCTCTCTATGTTTTGTACTCAGCTGACTTTTCTTGCTGTCTCAAAGGGAATGGAAAATTTTTTCCAAGCACTAAGCTCACTTAGCTGATTGCTCCTTCCTGTGTTTCCAAAAAGGTGACGGCAAAAGTAAATAACCCAGTCCTTCTTTTCACTGTGGACAAGCCATGATCTGCTTATCTGTTCTCCTTTTTTCATGGGGCGACAATGGCGTTGGATGTTGTGTCCTTGGGCAAGACACTTCACCTGCATTGTCTACTGATGGTGGTCAGAGGGCCCGGTGGCGCCAGTGTACGGCAGCCCTGCTTCTGTCAGTGAGCCCCAGGGCAGCTGTGGCTACAATGTAGCTTGCCACCATCAGTGTGCGCGTGAATGGCTGAATGAATGTAGTGAAAAGCGCTTTGGTCAAGTCTCCTGACTTGAAAAAAGGCGCTATATAGGTACATGCCATTTACCATTTCATTTGGATGAAATAATAGCTGCATGAATCATGACAGCAGGCAAGATAGAGGAGACCAGGAGGCGGGGTTACCAATTTACTTGCTCTGGAGAGCAGAGTGCTCTGCTTTTATATGTTGTCTCCAAAGTCTCAAGTAACAGAAAAAAGTCGGTACAATTTGGCAATAGTTGCTTTTTTTAAATAAAAGTGCTAGAGGGGTCAGAAAAGTCGCTAAATATAGCGCTATTGTCGCTATAAGTTGGCAACACTGCTCTTCGCACCGTTTGATTTCAAATGCTGTCTGTTTGGATGTTTCTGAACATGAGCAGCAAATGGACTGATCCAATGTGGTGGCCACTGAAGGGGGGGGTTGAGACACATTTAATATTATGAGTGTTCTGATGGCTTTTTAGCGAAAGGATTTTTATCAATATAAGTAATATGCACAATTAAGGAATAGTTGTATTAACCATACATGTAAACAGAGTTTTATGGGGCCCCAGGACCTTGGGGCCATAGGCAACTGTCTAGTATTGCCTAATGGTAAATTCCCCCTGCCATAAGAACTCACTTTTATTCTGCCTCCTCAATGTTGCAGAATTTCACATTTGTTCAAATTCTTTCTCCTGCTTCACAGATAATAAAGGAGTGTCTAATAATATACAAGATTGAGGGAAAACGAGGCAAAACTTAATAGAAATTTTTTTTGTACATAACTCTCCAAAAGCCTGTTGTCAACTTTCTTAATAAAATATATATATATTCTGCTTTTATACAGCAAGACTCATATTATATATTGGGTTTAAACAGTAGTTATCAAGCCTTTTTGCCCATCAGATTTTTAGGTGCATATGGCATTTATTTGAAAGTGAGCTGAAAGTCATACAGCAAAGGTTAACAGGCCAGGAATCAAACCTTTTTTTGGACTTTGGGGGGAAGCTGGAGTACCCAGAGAGAACCTAACTCATGCAGAAAGACCCCGGGCCGGGAAGCAAACCTGGAACCTTGTTGTTGCAAAGCAGCAATGCTACCCACTATGCCCTCTCTTTCATTTATTCTATGGGAAACTGTAGTTCATAACAAACTGTAGTCAAGTAGATCCAAGACTAATCTCCGTTTCTTTCTGAGCTGTCTAATTTACCAATTACCTCTACAAGAACACCCTTTTAGAGGTTCTGGCTTCTGTCCATGCCAGTCATTCATCTGGAAGTGGTCTCACAGAGGCAGGTAGTGAGCTTCCGAATGCTTTAAATCCCAGTGAGCTTTGATCCTGCTGGGGCTGGGAGAGCCATTAACCACAACATTAAACTAAAGTGGCCTGAGGATTATGTGAAATGTGGTGACAATGTTTACCAGGAGCCATCCCAGCACCATCTCATACTGCCATAACCGGGGCCTCACATTGTTGTTGTTTTTTATCTGTTTTAAAACCCACTGCCACTAACTAGGCTATGGCAAATTAGCACAAACAAAGGACAAAAAAGTATCCCCATAGAGATAAAAAAAATATATAAATTTAAACAGAGCTGGTTAACAGATGGTAGGTGATGGGACCAGCTAGAGTTTCCAAAGTCATCTGTGGGTATATATATGATCAAATTTTACCTTTGGCACCATCATATATCTACTGTATGTCTTTCCAACTCAAGAAAGAGACTTGCCTTTACTGCGTTACCATCTTTCCCCCTTGTGGGTGCTGCTCATCATAAAAAGATGTGTCAAGGAGCACAAAATGACAAGGAGCAATGGTGTATCAGCCATGCAGCACAGAGTGTTGTGGAATATTATGGCCAGTCTTATTCTTATTAGGAACATCAAAAAGCAAAGACCTTCAAGAACATTTTCTGTAGTTGGATGCATTAAAGTCTCTAGAATGGACCAAGAAAGAAATGGTTGAACTTTGGTATTTCTTTAGGGGATGTTCTTCTGACCATTAGCTTCTCCAACCTAAGATTAAAATGTCCTCTCAGGTCAATGGTACGCCAGTGTCAGTCCCATTTCTAACTGGCCTGATGACGCGCCTGTCCACATCGGAGGGCTTCATTGTCATCGACACACCGCAGGACATTCAGGTGCGATACAACCGTTTCAACACTCTCAGCATTACAATGGGCCAGCGACTTCAGAACAAAGTGTGTGGCTTATGTGGAAACTTCAATGGAGACCCCAATGATGACTACATCACCTCCAGGGGCAAACCAGCTGTCAGTGCCCTGGAGCTGGCTCAGAGCTGGAAGACCAACGGCATGCAGAACAGGTAAGTGAGGCTCCTAGATATTCTGACAAAATCTGATACCTTTGAGAGGTTGTCAGAACAACCAGAAAAGCTAACCACTTGCCTTCTCAACACCCCTGGTAGTGCTACAAGGGACTTAAAGTGCCATCAACTATGCTTTGTGTAACAGTTGCGACGAGACCCAATATGTGGCTTTAGCCCAGTCCTGCGACAACACGGCTGTCCTGGCACTGCAGTCCGAAGATGCCTGCCAGAAGCTTACCGACCTGAAGGGCTTCTTCCAACCATGTCACGGCCTGCTGGATCCGCAGCCTTTTTACCAGTCCTGCTACCTGGATGGCTGCTACAACCACCGCAAGGCTCAGGTCTGTGGATCCCTGGCAGCCTACGCTGAGGCCTGCCGCTCTTTTGGGACCCTCACCACCAAATGGATAACCCAGGAGAACTGCTGTAAGAGCACCGTCAGACAGTCGCTTCTGTCACCTTATATAGCTTTAGTTAATCTTCCCAGTATTTATTTCCACCTAACCTGCATACAGATCTCGTTGTACATGGTAGCCAAGCAAATGACATTTCATTGACAATCTTACTATGTGGCTTTGTGTAATAAGTCTAAGTTACAAACTCAAACTTCTGTGTTTTGATAAAAGACCAGCATGGAGTAGTAAGTATGAAACAGACTGAAAAGGATGCATGATCATTACGAGAAGCAGCAGAGAAGAAATTCAAGGTCCAAGGAAGAGTAATAGATATTCACAGCTCAGCTTGAAGACTTTTGTCGGTACAACCCATGAAGGAGGAAAAGCAAAACTGTGAAAGGGGAAGCTTTTAGTGAATGAGACAAAATGTGCACTTAATGTGGTTGGAAATGCCTAAGATCTCCCTTAACATACCATCCTCAAGGGTGGCCACTGCATCATGCTATGGAGATGAATTTCTTTAACAGGAACAGGGTAGCAGGTTAGAGTTGATGCAGCTAAAATCCTGATGGAAAACCTGTTAGAAGCTGCAGAAGATCTAAGACTGGGATGGAGGTTCAACTTCAAATTGAACAACTACCCTATTCCGTAAAAGTAAAAAAAAAATCCACTGGACTTGGTTTTCAAGATTTGAAGACATTTCGCCACCTCTTCCAGGAAGCTTTCTCAATTGGGGATTTTACGAACGGGGGATTTTACGATCAAGTAAGATGATACGACTGGCATAAAATCAAATACAAACAGCATAAAAATAAAACAACAAGCCGCTCCCATCTAGGCGTAATCGGAGAAAATATCAGACGAAGTGTGCTCCTGATGTCCAGTCTGCTCCGTAGCTTTGTTTTGGTCGCTGTAACTGCAGGAAATCCCGCTTCACAAAGATAGGATGTTATAGATAGGATGCGTCTTGAACTTAATTAACCTGTGTCAAGAGGCACAGATGCACCGACTGATGTAATTGGGAGAGAATACCGCAAATTTTTATATTTTTCAAAATAAAACACCACTCAGACTCTGATCGTCGATAAATTCTATATATATATATATACTTTTTTCTGTGCGGCCCGGTACCAAATGAGCCACGTACCGGTCCGCGGCCCAGTGGTTGGGGACCGCTGGTTTAGATGACAAAGTCCTGACCTTGATGTAACTGATTTTATATCTATATATATATTTGGAGAATTAAAAAACGATTTTCTAGCCATTCTTAATATTCTTCCGCTGTTTGATTAATTGCCATAAAATTGCCAGCTTTACCTGCAGAAGCAGCAACTTCTATTGCACCCCACAGTGTTCAGGGTTTTATTTGTAAATATGTTGAAAACCATGTTTTGTTTTTTTCCCTCCACTTCTCACATGTCTGTCGGGGTGTCTTACATTAAATCCAAATAAAACATACTTAAGTTTTTTCAGGAAACAAAAAGTAGAAGAACTTTAAGATCTGTTTATACCTAGACAGTTGTGATCTTTCTGCTCATTAGTGTACTATCCTGTTTTTTGAGTGCCACAGCTAACATTGTGTGCGGACCTGTCTTTAGCAGAATGGATTTACGACCCCTGTGCGGGAGAGATCTGCACAAACTTCACATGTGAGCTGGAGAATGGAGGCGATCTGTGCGGCTGTCCTGAGTTACCCACCAACCCTGCAGGTGAAGCTTTCACTGTTGCTTTCTGCAGCTCAGCCTTACACTGGAAAAGTATAACCTTGCTCAAACAACAACAACAAAAAACAAAAATGATGTCCAGATATCACATCTAAAATATTTCACTTCACAGAACCTGAATTTAATCACTTGTTATGACCTGATAATATTGACACAACTTTAAATCTTTGCCCTGTTCCAAATGATTTTCTGAAAATTTCAGTTGATGAACTAAACTAATATATTGACATTGGACCAACCTAATATACTTACCTTTAACAAAATTAACAACAATTAATGTTTGGAAAAAAATCCAGTTAATTTAAATATAACCAAATTAGATTTTTCAAATATGAGAATTGAGACAAGCCAATTAACCTAAAAATCATCTTTTTGGATTGTGGGCAGAAGCCAGAGTACCTGCAGAGAACCCAAGCATGCTCAGGGAGAACTCCATGCAGAAAGATCCTGGGCCGGGATTCGTACTCACAACCTTCTTGATGCAAATGCAGAAGTGTTAGCCACTGCACCACTGAGCTACTCTGTCATGGCCTGGGACATAGACCTGATCACGTGCTCTGACTGCATGCAGAGCGCAGTTCACATTTTACTCAAACAGAAAAAATGACTTGCAGGCCATGAATAAATATATACAATTTAAGAGAAATCATAAACTTTGTTTTGGGTCCTTTACATGTGTATTTAGTTCAGCTTGATGTCTCAAAATCCAAAAAGAATGATTTACATAATGAAATCAATAATTTGATCTAGTTTAGAGTGAAAAGCATTAGTTTGAATGAACAGTTACATGTTACACTTTTTTCAGTGTACTTAAGAAAAAAAACCCAACAGGTTTTCTTTATTTAAATCTATCTTTGCCCGGCAGGTAACGATGACATCATTCAAGCTGAGGTGAACTGCAAACACGCTCAGATGGAGGTTTCTATCTCCAAGTGCAAACTCTTCCAGCTGGGCTTCGAACGAGAAGACGTGAGGATCAACGACGAGCGCTGCGCCGGCATCGAGGGAGAGGATTTCATCTCCTTCCACATCAACAACACTAAAGGCCACTGCGGCTCCATCGTACAGGTCCATCACGCTGCTCCTTTCCTCAAGACAGACTGAAGGCCTGCAGGGTTCTTAACACCGCAAGCTGTGCACCATAAAAAAAAATTAAAGCATATATTTTTTTACCCTGCAGTCAAACGGCACACACATCATGTATAAGAACACGGTGTGGATAGAAAGTGTGAACAACACCGGCAACGTCATCACTAGAGACAAGACCATCAACGTGGAGTTTTCCTGTGCTTACGAGCTGGACCTGAAGATCTCTCTGGAGACCGTCCTTAAACCCATGCTCAGGTCTGACTCAGGGGTCGGCTGCACTACTTCACCGTAAAACAGGCAGATTTATTTTATCTATATGAAATATTTTATGTAGATCAGTCCATCCATGCATCCATTTTCTTTCACGCTTATCCCTTCTGGGGTCATGAGGCGTGCTGGTGCCCATCTCCAGCTATCTATGGGCGAGAGGCGGGGTACACGACCAGACAAGTCGCCAGTCTATCGCAGGGCAACACTATTTTATATAGATAAGAGATAAAAATGTGTATATAGATAAGAATAAAATATTTCATCTACAACTTCTAAAGTGTTTGATGGGAAGACACAGGAGAAAAATGGAAGATATTTACATTAATTGCAAAAAGTACTTTTATTCATTAGTAAAGCAAATGCCAGAATAAAAAAAAAGGTAAAACCCCGAAACTTTTTATTGATTTTTCCATCAATGTATAGATGTTATAGCCTCATGAGACCATCCTGATCTCGCGAGCTTTCAAGGT